ATGTAGTCTCTAAGCATTATTGCTGCAAATAACTTTATTTATACACTGTAACCTATTATAGGTGGTATAAATTTATAAAGTGTTTTTGCATATAGAATATTTTGACGACGCGAGTCATTATATATATTTACACGTCGTATTGAACCCAACTCACGTACCACTTTAATCGACGAACAGTCGAACCCTTCCCAGCTTGTGCACCAGGAGGATGTGATGAGTCGACATCGCAATTTGCTATATCAGCCGATATAGCGATCTTAATTTTTCAATTAAGTTAGATCATATCTTAATCCTAATTAGGACCTTAGCGTATGATCGTTGAGATTATAAATCTGCTGATTAGCCAATCTTCCAGGCCCCCCTGCTAGTAGCCGGGGGGACAGGTTCCTCGAGAAACCTTCCTGGTCCCTCTCTCCCTCCTTTACAGTCGGTCGAGAGGAACTAACTTTAATTCATATTTGAATATAGAAGCTCTAAGGCCGTCCCAGCATATAGCTAATAATAACTTAATATTTCTATCAAGCAACCCCGATGTATTAAGGTGCCAAACAGCGCTTACGATATGAACTCTTTCGCGCTATTAGCCTGTTATCCCTAGCGTAACTTATCCGTTGAACGATAGCTGTACCATAACATACTATCGGTTCATTATGCCCTACTTACGTACCTGATTGACCTGTCGGTCTTTCAGTTTAGCACACTTTTGCCATTATGCTGTTATTGACTATACATAGTCACTTAGTCCCCGTCTAAGCTATGTGTACCTATTGGACCCCTCCGATGCTTTCTTGGAGGGTACCGTCCCAGTAAAACTACCCATCAGACACGTTCCCTACTCGCCCCTGTCAAAGCAGCGGGGCGCTATAGGTTAGTGCGTCTACGATTTGTTGAGGTCTCTCACTTACGCCTATTACCGAAGCAATAAGCTACCTCATGCCTGTGACAAATGGTAGACTAACACAATATCTGACTGTAGTAAAGTTGCATAGGGTCTTCCCGTCTGACTGGTGGTAAACCGCATCTGCACGGCTAATTCAATTTCACCGGACTCAAGTTTAAGACAGTGGGGGCATCGCTGTTCCTTTCATGCAGGACCGTAATTGGCGGCCAAGGAATTTCGCTACCTTAGGATCCTTATAGTTAAGACCGTCGTTTACCTCGTCTTCAGGTTTCAAAAGCATATCATAAATACACTCTTAATCACCATATCACGAGGCACCGGACAGGAATCACAACCTATACGACCACGATTAGTGTTAGCAGGCTGCTGTGTTTTGGGTAAACAGTCGC